TAGCTTCATTGAGTAGCATCTCACTATATAAGTGTATAAGTGTGTTACAAGTTTTCTCTCATGCTCAGGGACTCCAGCTCTTTCCATTACTTCTAGTAGTTTGTAATGTTTTACACGATCGAATGCTTTTGTATAATCTATAGCATAAGTAGAGATGTTGTTGTTTCTCAATCATTCTCTCACTGAGACATCTTAACAGGAAGATTCCATTTCTGGTACCCTTTCCTTCTCTAAATCCAAGTTGTGTCTCACTTAGCTGACTTTCAATTATAGTGTTGATCCTAGCAAGCATGATCTTGAGCAGGATTTTCGATGCATGTGGTATCAGGCTGATTGTGCTGAAGTTTCTCCATTTGGTTGCCTTTGCTACAGTACCTTTCGAATTGTGATGAAGTTGCTCACTAGGAAGTAATCATGAAGTTTACCAGTTTGGTAGATGAGATTGATTAGTTTAGTCATCTTCTGCATTCCTTGTGGCCCAAGTTCTTTCAAGAATTCTGCTGGCAGGTTGTCTTCTCCTGTGGCTTTGTTATTAGGAAGCTGTTTTATTGCATCTTTCACTTCCTGTAGACTAATGTTTGGCAACTCATCTTTGATTGTGATTTCAGGTGGTTCTCCTCTGTCATCAATGAAGAGTACCTCTCCTGTGTACTCTACCCATCTTTTTGTGATTTCCTCTTCATTGTGGAGTATTACTCCCTCATTCGATTTGATCCCAAGTTGAACTTGGGGCTTCCTTCCTTTCATTTCTTTCACCTTTCTGTAAAGACTGACACTGTTAATTCTACTTAGCCTCTCCAATTATACACAAAGCTCCTGATAGTAACTTTCCTTTGCGCTTCTGCATTCTTTCTGAATTTCTCAACAAAGAGTTCTGTTTTCTTCATGGCTGATGTGGTTTTCTTTCACCAGTTGTTATCCACTGCTTCTTTTTTGTCAAATGTTTTTTTTCCAACAGATGTTATCTGCAACTTCTTCCATCCGGGTCGTTGATTTGATGTGAGTGCTGTTTCTTTGAGTGATTTCATCTTGTCTTCTGTCATCCCTCTGAATTGATTGCTTTAGCAGTACCTACTGATTACATTTAATTGACGATATTCTTTCTTCTTCAATTCGGTTATTAATGTCAACAAGCATTCTTTTAGTTTTACTCGTGAGGCCCTGTCTCGGACGGTTACGTGTCAGTTTTCGAGTCAGTAGTCGCTGGAATTTCAAGATGACGTGGCATAGGTGTTGTCTCGGCTTCGGGTTTTTTTTATATTTTGCTCTTGTAGCACTCATTGTTTGTCTAATTGACAGCTTATTTTACTCTAAGCTGAATGTAAAATTATATTACATACTTACGTTCGATTTATTCCATTAATTTGCTTGCTTGTATGAGTTCAGAAAAATCTGTGTCGACACCAACTGAGCTCTGCTATTTCAAGATGACGGTCATAAGCTGACATGTCATAAGCGTTGTCTAGGCTTCGGGTTTTTTTTTTTTTGTTTTTTTTTTGCTCTAGAAGCACTAATTTTGCCTAATCATGAGCTTTTTCTACTTTTAGTTGAATGTAGAATAATATTACAAACTTACGTTTAATTTATTCCATCCTTTTGCTTGCTTTAGGGAGTTCGAAAAATCTGTGTCGACGGAGCTCGGTTACGACACGTCCTCACTCACCAAATCCCATAATGCATACCCACTTGATCCGTATATCATCCCAATGATATTACTCCAGTTAAACTGAATACATATAAAAAGAATGTTATTAAAATATGAAAAGGCATTAATAAATTATTAAGCAAACATAAAAATAAAGATAAACCGGCCATATACTTTTCAGATAATAATAAGATGTTGGAATCCCAAAAAAATTACTAAGTTAAATAAATACTTTATAAAGATTTTGGCAGCATTTGTTTCTGATTTTTATTCTCCAATTTTTAAGTCCAATGATAAATCAATATTTTTTCACGTGTTACTGCTAAAGAAATTATTTGGATTCTTTGTGAATTAAAAGCCGCTAAAAGCAGAGGGCATGGTGAATATAATGCAGGCGTCATTTAAGAGATTGCGCAATTTATAGTTCATCCCCTTTGTCATATTTTTACCTTTATTTTGCTACTGGTGTTTCAACAACACTTAAAAAAGAGAAAATAACCCCATTATATAAAAAAATATGGTCGACATTATTTCTAACTACTGTCCTATTTTTCCTCTTTCATGCTTTTAATTTGTTTCTGAAAAAAAAAGATTAATAATAGATTGAAACGCAAATAATATCTTTTATCCTAACCAAGTTTTCCGTAAACAACATTCAACAAACTTTCTTTAGCTTTATCTGAGAATGAACATATCATTTGAGTTTTCATGGTTTATCGAAAGCTTGTGGTATAAAGGGATTTCCACTTGCTTTATTAACCAACTACCTTTCTACCAGAAAACAATTCACATGTTTTAATTCTGTCTCTTATACACATCTAGATGTGTATAAGAGAAGGCTATATTATTTATAGACACATAACATAGCCGTACACAGTTTCGGTAACTCAACTTTACAATTTTTCAAATAGATGTGTATAAGAGACAGACATATAAGTTACTGATAATACTTGTCGTACAAAATTCACCTACATCTAAAAGTTGCACTTTTAACCTCTCGGTTTGAATTAAAATACAATCAACACTTATTATCTACTGTTGCGAATTAACTTAATAATAAACTAAAGGGCCCTCGAAAAGAGCATACCTCCGCTCAAATCATAATTTTTTTCAGGATAAATTTTCCCGCATATTGTCCCCATAATAAAAATAATAATGAAAAAAAATACAAGTAGACTCCTTGGGATTTGAAACCGGGGCTGGTAGTGTGGAAAACACTCTTACCACTACACCAATCTGTTTTCACATAAATCACTTTGAAATTAATGGTCATGTGAGCCCGTATAAGCACACACACACACACCTCTATACTGCAAACAGTTATACAAGTTTTCGATCGTTGTGTCATTGACCTTTGACCCTGACCCTTCAAAATTTAGTCACTTCTAGATCTCTGGTAAACGAACATTGTGGCCTAGTTTGTTGATTGTGACCTTGACCCTCAACCCTTGCCCTCAAACATTCAAATACTTGAGATCTTTAGTCATGGAACATTGTGACCAAGTTTGACAAGTTTGTGATTAAAACTACGGGCTGTACACAAATAAATAAAAAAAGGTTTTTGTTGATTGTGACCTTGACCTCTTCCCCAGATCTTTCAAATTTTAATCAGCACTAGATCTTAGGTTAAGGGACATTGTGGCCAAGTTGGACGATTTTCTGATAAAAACTATGGGCTGTAGGCTGTTCACAACAAATGCCCACAGACAAATGAATAAATAAACAGCGGCAAAAACATATCCTTCTGCCAACTTCGTTGGCAGAGGTAATGAGATCTTTGGTCTGTTTAAAATTTGTGATTAAAACTACAGGATGTAGACAAATGAATTAAAAACTAGTTTTTCGTTCATTGTGTTCTTGGCTTTTGAAACTGACCCTTGAAAATTTAATCAGCTCTCTCAGGTAAAGGAACATTGTGGTCAAGTTTGACGAATTTCTATTTAAAACTGTGGGCTGTAGGCTGTTTACAAGAAATATGCCGACAGTCAAATAAATAGCTAAATAAAAAACAAGGCGAAAACATAACCTACTGCTAACTTCATTGGCAGAGGTAATAAAAGAGCAGTTTTTTTATGATTAATTGAAGCACTTAGTAATATTTTTTTTTTTTTGTTCAGTCAGAGAATATATTTTTTTTCTTTAATAGGTGTTTTGATTTGGTATATTAATAAAGGTCACTGTATTTTAAAGAGTGGGTCGATTTTAAAGCTGTAATGGGTTTTTCTGACTCACCCATTCTCCTCCTAAGCTGTATTTAATGATAACAAAAAGCATGTATTGCTGTACATTATGATCAATAAATGAAAGGAAAAGTTTCTTTGTACGTGTATTTTTTTTAGTATGCACAAGTAAAATACAGATTGATTAACCGATGTGGTTTTTATAATGCCTGACCGTTTATGTTACAAGGCTATATTATTTATAGACACATAACATAGCCGTACACAGTTTCGGTAACTCAACTTTACAATTTTTCAAATCATTAGTAATGTGTCGTGATAACTTTCAGCTTTCGGAAAGGGTCCAGGAAATACTTTGTTTTTGGCAATATACCAAATGTCTCGTCTTTTATTGGTTAGCTTCCTTTAAATCCAAACTCCTGCAACAGTGGCATGACCTAAACTATAAAACGAGTTATGCATTCCAGGCCCGCTACTGGACCTCAGTAGTCACTAATTAACACGCAGAAAATGTAACTTTCCACGATAAAGATAATCACGTGATTTTATTAAGTGACGCTTTTGGAACACTCGGTGGCGATGCTCAATGCAGGCGTCATTAAACAGATTGCGCGAGTTATTTCATCCCCTCTATCATATCTTACCTTGAATTTGCTTTTAATTTTTTTTTATTTAATGATTAATAATAGATTGAAACACACATAATATTTTACATCCTAGCCATGTTTTCCTTAAACAACATTCAAATAAGATTTTTTTTTTGTTTAGTCAGAGAATATTTTTTATTCTTTTATAGGTGTTTTGATTTGTTATAACAAAACATGTAATGCTGTACATTATGATCAATAACTCTGTGTGGAAATGTAAAGTTTCTTTGCATGTGTATTTTTTTAAGTATGCACAGGTAAAATATAGATTGATTTAGAATGAACACGCTATATCGTCATTGCGGACTTATAAAATCCGCATACGCTATAAAACTAAAAGAAAATACATACTTTTGGAGTCCGTACTGAGCCCAAAAAATCCGCAATGAAAATATAACGTGTTTATGTCGGAGCGTTTATGTTACAAGGCTATATTATTTATAGTCACATAAAATTACAGTACACAGTTTCGCTAGCTCAACTTTTCAAATTTTCTATTCATTAGTATTGTGTCGTGTTAACTTACAGCTTTTGGAAAGGATACAGGAAATACTTTGATTTTGGCAATCTACCAGATTCCTCAGTCTTTTATTGGTTGGCTATCTGCAAATTCAGACTCCTACAACAGTGGCATGACGCTAAACTATATTAAAAAGGTTTATGCATCTCAGACCCGCTACTGGACCTCAGTAGCCTCGGATTACCACACAGGAAATGTTACTTTCCACGATAAAGATAATCACGTGATTTTATTAAGTGATGCTTTTGGAACTCTTGGTGGCGATGCTCATAGCATTTCAGCTCCTACCTCTGGTAGAGTGGAGGCTATAACAATCGACTGGTTGTCTCAAAATGTGTACTGGGTGGACGAAGGTTATAACTGGATCAAAGTGACAACTTATTTCAAGGGAGGACCCGACATTACTATTGTTGGTACTGGCCTCGAAAGGCCGTCGGGAATAGCTTGTCATCCTATAAAAGGGTATGTACAGACTGAAATACTAATGCTACTACTGAGCCTACAAGTACAATACCCTATAATAATATTTGGTAATGGTAAGGTATTTGGAGTGCGAATGACTGACGGTATTGTATAATAATTAAATTCATTTTCCAGTATTTTTGACATTAAACTAAGCAAAATTAATCCCAGCAGTATATAAAAAAAGTTGGTCGCCATATAATTTCTAACTATTGTTCTATTTCTCCTCTTTTATGGTTTTTAAAATTAAAAAAATATGTATGTTTTATAATAGACTGATAGACGTTTTCAAGGCACATGATATCCTTCACCCTAACATTGGTTTCCTTAAACAAAATTAACAGATCTTGCATTATTAGATATTGTAACAATTTTTTTTTAGCTTTATCTGAAAATAAACATACTGTTGAAGTCGTCATGGATTTATCGAAAGCTCGTCATTCTAATAATCATTATATTCTTAAATTATTGTGGTATAAGATGACTTGCACTTGCTTTATTAACCAAGTATGACAATTGACAGCTTGTTAAGGTACTGGGTGGACAAGGGCTACAATTGGATCAAAATGACAAATTATTTCATTGGAGGACCCGATGTTCGACATTACGATTGATGATACATTCCTCGAAAGGGTGCGTACATTTGGTCCGACTGGTCTTTGGTCCGAAGGCCCATTGGACAAAAGGCCCATTGATCTGAAGGCCCGCTAGTCCAAAGGTCCATTGGTTCAAAGGACAGTTAGTCCGAATTAGTGACCTTTCTTTCCAGGAATGGCAGTAAAACAATGCCTTACTATTTATGAAGTAAATTAAGAAAGATTACATTTCAAAAATAATATTAGCAAATATTTTCAATAACAACCTATAAGGCCAATTAAAAATAAAATACTAGTTTCTTGTCACCTCCCGCATCCATTTTGTGGCCTCACCATTTAAAACAATAATATATTTCCTTTATTTTGCCAAATGTACGAAAATGTGGCTAACTAACATCAGTAAAATTCCTCTCTCGATCGTTCGTGGACAGGGGGATGTCCCCAGTAAGAATTTCAGTTGAACTATTACCAGTAGTATTATGAATTAAATCTCATTGTACTATGATATGAATCATGTCTAGTGCTTGTTTTATTTGCTTTCAATGTGCAGTGGCAGCACTAAACAGGGGGCACGGGGGAAAATTCCCCTAGAACTTGTGTTTCCCCAGTTGCTGCCCCACCCACCCCCCTCAGAATTGTAGACACAATTAGCCGAGGAGAAAAAAAAATGTCTTAAACATATTAGTAGACAATCTATTTAGAATCCATTGCATAACCCTTCGAAACCCTATTATTGTCATATTTTCCGGGGAATCCGCGCCCTGGACCACTTTCGAAACATTTTAATTAACACCCGACCACACCCACATTGCTCTCGTCGGGGACTTGCCACCCCCCCCCCCCCCCCCAAACAAACAAAACCCCCGCCCATCATTCCCCCACCCCCAACAAGATTGCAGATGCTGGCGCCGCCACTGTCAATGTGACTACTTTGTAAAAGTGAGAAAGTCGTTAACTGTTTCCCATCGGCATATTATGTAAATCAATCAATCTGTTAAGATTTTCCAAACACTTAATATTTTTTAAACACTGTATTGAAGTTACTTGAATTCCCCTATTATTATTATTAAAATCTTTTTCTGTCTCCTGTTTAAACATTAGGAAATTATACTTACATTCGCTTTAAATCTTTTCAATTTCTAATAATTTGTTAAAATTATATATAAACTGAGCTGACAAGTCATGCTAGTAATAATTGTATATTGTTAGCCAAGACCTACATGGTGGTCCCAAAAACGTTTTCTTCAAATATATTTTTGTCTATATTTGAATTAATTACTTAGGACCAACGGACCTTCGGACCAAAGGCCTTTCCGACCAAAGGACCTTTGGACAAATGCACTAACCCCAAACGGAAGGCCATCGAGAATAGCTTTTCAACCTATAAAGGGTAATATGTACATACTTATATACTAATGCTACTACTGAGTGTACTTGTACATATACAAGTATAATAACCTAATATTTGATAATGGTAATGGTAATTTATTTAGAATGCGAATAGAGAGTAATTATGGTAGAGCAATTCAATTAATTTTCCTGTATTTTCAAAATTCAACTTAAAAGAATAATAAAAATGCATAAAAATACCGAAGCTTTTGAATGAGTTTAAATCAAGATACTGCCGGATTCATAGGGGAGCGGAATGGGCACCCGCACTACCCTCTCCTTTTGCAGCAGCCAACACATTTTTAACCACCAAGTGCTTAAATCATTAATTCATTATATTAGAGGTTATCTAAATCTGCGGGGCTCTAGGTAGAGGATACCCCAAATCCATTTCTCTCAGACTATAGTTACCACCGCTCTTTGTACAATGCTTGTAGCTCCTAAGTAGAATCAATGATATCTAGAGGTGACGGAACTAGGGGGTACTGCGTTATGCAGAGTAGTGTGTGACCGCAAATGGTCTGCAGTCAGTTGGTTGTTACCATGTGCCAGTGATGTTGGAGTACAGCAACATGAACATATTTATGTAATGCATGAATAAAGTTCTTGGTTTGTCTGGTAGTGAAATGATTATTGTACATTTTAAGTGCTCCAGATACTCCATGCATAAGTCTAAGCTAAATTACGGTGATTAATTAGTGAAGATATGGAGACACGGTCTCATGAGCCACGAAAGGATGCAAATACTTTGTGAAATTAAGTATACAGCGGTACTAATTTTTACACAGGAATACATGCAGCTGTCTTGCAAAAAATATGCAAATGTTACATGAAAACCTGGAAAGGATGGCACATCACATTCTGTTTCCTAACGCACAGATGTGTGTAGTGGGGAGGGGGGAACGGTGAGGCTATATAACAGTAAGACTAGGCCTAAGTAGACAGTGCAATTATTTAATAGTACATATTATTAAGTGTAATATAAAGTACACTTTCGAAAGAAATAAATTAAGTAAAAAAAATAAATAAGAATAATGCAGTTACTGACGTACCTTGTTTAAGTATTATACAGTGCTAACAATGCGGCTCTTTTCCTGGTTAGGCAAGGCATCCATGTGCAATGCAGTAGTGCTTATTCATGAAAAAAGCACGCCAGGAAAGTTTGCCTTACCAGCAAAAAATGATGTAATCTTATGACGTATGCATGTTAACTATATTGTGAGTGTGACGCCCCCAAAAAATAAAAATGTTCTATTATAACAAAAATATTAATACCTACAAGGTTTGTGGGGGTAAATTCCATAATAAGATATAAGAGCAGCAGCATCTACCTTGCTATACAAATTACAGCACCCACTGTCGTTTCAGTCGAGAAAAACTGGTAGCTGAAAATTTTCTCGCAAATCTAACTACAAAACCATATTTATATTTCACGTTCCAGTACTACTGGCATTGAGTTGTGCTTCGCACACGCCGCTGAAGGCTGCGTTCCTAGTAGACATTATAGTAGTAAACTCGTTCAAGCATTTTTATCTAGTAAAATTCTGTCCACGTCTTAATAATCTATGGTCCTGAGAAAAAATGGTATATTGTACAACTGGTTTTAAGACACTGAAGGTGTTTGATGAAACTCGAGAAGGTTAATAAGATACACGTTTTTTGAATATTTTAAATTTGGGGGGAAATGCGACTACAACGTAATTATTTTTTAAATGTCCTAATAATATATGAAAAAGCAGATGAATGTGTAGTTATATTTTTGTACAGTTTGTAATTTAAAATCATAGTTTATTTTTCCACTAAAGGTACCTGTTTTGGACTGAATTGGGGAATAAATATCCCCCAAAAATTGAGAGATCATCAATGTCAGGCGCAAATCGAACAACTATTGTTACAGGGCTGAGCGAGCCGAGATCCATAGCAGTTGATATCAATACTAACAGGTAATGAATACACTGCGATTTATATTTCAGATAGTCAACACATGCAAGTTAATTATGATGACAGGATAATGATGATTACATTTACAGTAATATATTTTTCAGTAGTAGTATCATTATCATGATGTGTAGTAATGAGTTGCTGAGTTTATAAAATAATCTTTTTGAATTATCAGGGTCTATTACCATTTCAAACATTATTAATATTATTATTATTATTATTATTATTATTATTATTAATATTATTAGGATATACTGGACTGACAACCGTGCAGCTGACATTAAAATTGAATCATCTGATCTTAATGGTAATAATAGGCGAACGGAAGTGTCACAACCAGCATCTGGCGGTGTATTTGACAGTATTTCTGTCGATGAAGTGAGATTTTTTTTGTATATATCTTGTACTATTTTGATCTAATTTGCAGGAAAGCCCCATTGCCTCCAATGCATATACTCCAGAAAACCTTGGTTCTTGAGTGGTTTTCTTCGTATTAGACATATTAATATTCTTTACAGTTTACAATATTTTTTTTATAATTTAGCATTTTAGCGGTTTAGAGATTATCCATACGTATAGTATTTCTTAAATAGAATCTCTTGGGAGATCTTTGTTACATTTTGTGTTTTAGTTTTGCCTTTATCGTTGTTTGGTTCTGTTTTTCCTGAACTTTGTTCTTGCATTTCTTTATGTTTTTCCTAAGCCTGTTGAGTCTTTCTTTTTGTTCCTTTTCTCTTGGTTTTATACGTCAGCTAGCTGATAATAGTGACATTTGTCACGTTTCAAGGTTATGACTAACAGGGCCTTACATATTCATACAGTAAATTTGAATAACAATTTCTTCAGAACGCTCATATTTCTATTTACTCTAATACAACACTTTGCTAAAATGACCAGAATGCCGTTTCTGACATTTGACACGTTTCAGTTTCATAGCCAAAGACTCCTTATATCAAAAGTACTAGAAACACAACAGGTCTTGCATAACAAAAATGAAGCGGATAGATATACATGTCCTATTGCTTCCAATACTGGAAATTTACGCAGGTTTATCCAGACCATATCCTGACGTACAGGACGCCCTTCTGTTGGCAAGGACATCCATACGTACGCAGCGCCCTTCTCTTTCCTCTAATGATAGAGTCCGGTTATACGATTCTGCACTTTTTTGTGTATCATTTTTGCTTATTATTATCTTCACAATTTGTTTGAAACATTATGTTTCTCTTTGGTCTAATAGAACATTTTGCTAAAATAGACCGAAATGCTGTTTCTGACTTTTGAAACATTTCAAGGTCATAGACATAGTGAGTTAATATTAGTGTCAATTTGCTCAGGACATTTACTTTTCTATTTAGTGTAAATAAAAATAACCCAAAATGCTATTTCTGACATTTGAATCCTTTTAATGTCAGCCATAAAGTCCTTATCATCTGAACAACCAATGGTGGTAGAGAGTTTAATGTTGGTGCTAATTTGTTCGCAATAATAATGTTTTTATTTGATCTAATAGAACACTTTGTACAAAAATGGAAATCAGTTTCCTACTTTTACACGTTTCAAGGCTTATATGCCTTTTTCTGTAAATGTTGGCTGTACATACTTAATAATTATTGATCTCCAATTATTCAGTAGACACTTGTTTCAATTTACTTTAACATTAGACTATTTGTGATAAAGTACTGAACATTATGTTAATGACTTAGGTCGCAACCAGCGGCGGTGCCAGCTGGGACATGGGAGCTTTAGCCCCCCCCTCCCCATTGGTCTGGTTAAGCCCACCGCCATCGGTCAAAGCTCGTTGGGCAGTCAGACCAAAAAAAATAGACTAGTTTACCCATCCCAGTACTGTGCTGCCCACACCAAGTCTGGCAAAGCTGACAGTGCCATTTCCGGCCATCTAGAAGTCCCAATTTAAAAATCTCGTTTTTGGAGGAGGAGACTCCCCACCCACACCCACCCCCCGCTGCGATTTTTTTTTCGTGAAGAGCCAAGCATAGGGAAACATAATAAGCGCTCTGATTGGCTAATGATAAGATGACATCATTGCACAAGAGTCAACCAACTCGCACTCGAATACTGATACGGTGCGAGTAAGAGTGATCCCAAGAAAGTATATAGCTTTGATTCACCGATTGCGGAGTATGGTTTTCTCAGAGTAAGTTTTCACTATTATTACTGTATACGTATCCACAACGATCAAGGTAAAATTGTAAGGAGGGATGCATCTCATGACTCTATCTAGGCCCAGTCTAGGCAAGGCCTACCCTTGGCGTAGTTGGAAGAATGACCTACCCTCCCTATCCCATCATCAATCATGATGCAAGAGAGATCAATGCAACACGCCTAGGCCTAGTTTACATGACAAGTTCGCCTTCTTTCACTGAAGAAGTTTTCCTAGCAGAGCCGAGCAACCTGTATAAGACCTAAATAGTCTATTTTTTCCCTTTATTTCTTCACCTCAATACTGTAATATAATTATTAATAAATAACGACCCTATCAAAATATACTAGGCCTACTACTAGGACTTAGACCCTGGCCTATTGTCCACAATTCTCTAATACTTTTTATTATAATTATAATGTTAAAATTATAATGTTATACTTTACTAACAGCACACTTGGCAGTGAGAGATGCCCCCTTTCTCTATTATTAAGTTGCTCAAAATTGTTGGGTGTAATTTTTTTTTATTATTATTTTGATTTGTTTATTTTTTACTTTTTTTTCTGATATTACAACATTTTAACTGTATAGTCTTTTATTATAAGCCCCTATATATCCCTTTTTAATGAATAATATGTAACACAAGTAACATGCAGTTTGGTCTTTGGCCTTATATTACTGTTTGAGATGTGATGTTCGAATAAATAAAGTAATTTATTTTTAAAATCAATCAACCTACAAATACGTAGCAACCCAGTTTTTTTGATAAAACATTTCCTCAAACTGCTGATGTTGTTATGTCATGACATAATAAATGGATGCACAGTACATCACAATTAAATACTTGAATCTGGTGTTTTTTTAGGTCCATGAACAGTACTTCGGAAAAATAGATATTGCACGGGCGGATCTGGGTTCAATTTTAGGGGGGTCCGAATGTTCTAAAATCAAAACTATGAAAGGGGAGTCCTCCCCCGGGAAAATTTTGATTCCTAGATGGTGGGAAATGAGCTTTCCTGGCTTCTGAGGTGTCTTTTATTAGCTTTTAAGTTCTTCAAAATTTAACGTTTTCCCCCTTTTGAAAACGGTCAGGTACAAATTTCTCATTCTTATTACAGTAAATGGGCCTAGGCTTATTATATGTGTGTACATACAGAAAAAGAAATTAAATAGTTGCATACCCATACTGTTTTCAATGAATCGATGAACCCTTAGGAATGAAAAGCGCACTTTACTTTAAGATGGATTAAAACAAAATGAAAAACAATACAATTCTTAAAGACCACAGTAAACTCTTCAATGCTTGAACATTCATGCCTATGGGCTCGTCGATTCAATTTCATCAAATATTTTAACATGCATCTTATTTAATGGTAATGGTAATGGTGGGATATTTGTAGTGCGCCTTCCACAATAAAATCGTCTCAAGGCGCCGAAAAAAGGTAGGACCAAGAATTTAAAAGAAATTAAATTATATTATATCTTATATTAAAGAGCCTATATTAATCAGAATATTTTTTATTTTATTTATTATAAGTTAAATAAATATAAATAAATGAATAAAGTAAATAAATAACAAAATAGAAAATAAATAAATAAATAATTGATAAATTAAGCCTTCAAAAACAGGCAGACCAAAGAATGGAAAAAACCAAGCAGCAACATGAAAAATGCGCACTCCTGTTGTTGAGACGGCGTCACCACCACTACCGCGTACACGCAGGTACTCTGGCGACAGTATGCTAGGCTCCGGTAGCTTCCACCTTGGATAAGCCTCGGCTCTACTACCGTGCACTGCTAAGGTAGCGACGCCGGCTCAAGTAGGGGATTTGCGACTTTAATGAACAAAAAAACAAAACACTTAAATATTCTTAAACTACAAAAATTGTAAAAAGATAAACATAAAAAAGGTGGGTTTTAAGTTTCTTCTTAAATGTATGAACGGAAGTTGATTCACGGATAGAGGCTGGTAGGGCGTTCCAAAGTCTTGGTGCAGCGACAGAAAAAGCCCTATCACCATTGGTTTTGAGTCGCGATGTTGGAACGGATAGTATGAATCTATTGGTCGTTGATCTCATAGACCTACTACAAGTTATAGAACGTGACGTTAGAAGTTGAGAAATGTATTCAGGTGTCTTGTTGTGCAGGGCTTTGTACGTAATGAGCAGAATCTTGATTGTGATGCGCTTGTCAATTGGTAACCAGTGTAGATGATGGAGAACAGGTGAAATATGTTCACGCCTGGAAACTCCAGAGACTAAACGAGCTGCCGTGTTAAGGCATAGCTGTAGTCTATTTAAACGACAGGCAGGAAGACCATACAGAATTGCATTGCAATAATCTAGCCGTGATGTTATAAGTGCATGAACTAACTTCAGAAGAGCATTTTTTGTTAGGAACTTTTGAATATGCTTGATGTTGCGCAGATGTACCTGTCTCTTATACACATCTAGATGTGTATAAGTGAACAATGTAATGATCAGATAAGTGGTACTGGTGTACATGACAATTTTTTATGAGGTTCTGATTGTTAGTAATCACAAGATCCAGAGTATGGTCATGTACATGTGTAGACTGACTCACTAACTGCATAAGGTTAAATGATTCAAGCATTTCTACAAAACGGTTTGTGTGGTGGTTACTGGTATCATCCATGTGGATGTTCAGATATCCAACAATAATAAGGTTGGGAAGAAGTAAAAAACGCTCAACCAATTGGGAAAATTCCACAAAAAAACAGAAAGGTAGGTGCGGGTGGTGGTCTATAAATAGTGACAATAATCACTTTTTTATTATGGAATGTAAACTCTGCTTCACAAGCTTCAATTTCCCAATCTACCTTATTGTATTTTTTTTAATACTTTATTGTATTTTATTTTTATGATGAAGTGAATAAAGATTGAACTGAATTGAATTGAATTCTACTGTTATTGTTTACGTTAGATCTATGCCTAGATAAAGTATAATGCATCAACACTTAAAAACACACAAAAATATTAGCTACACATTCCCATGTTTCCAGGATAAAAAGGTAGACACACATGAATACATTTCAGAATCTTAAAAATATTATTAATCTACAGAAAACCTGCCTGGCCTGTCTTTTCACAAATTCTTCCACCACTTCATGAACAGGTAGTAGAAGCGTTTCCTTATTACATGAGTGTGAGACCACTAAGCCTCTCCTCTCCCATTGTTGATCTTAGAGCTGTTT